GACATTGCCAGTGAAGCGGAAGACCCAATACTATTATGGGCTACTGGACTCTTTTAGAATATTTTGCTGAGTTAACACACCTATAATATTCAAATAACAGAACTAAACAAAAAAAGGTGATACAGATGAATATCCATTTTGTCTCTGAGTATTCAAAATGGTGAGAATAAATATATAGTTACAGTCTCTTAATGAATAGAATGATTTGTTCTAATAGCTTTTGTAAATAGATTATCATGTCCACATATTGTACAGCAATTAACCACTAGGAAGAATGTATGCAATGTATTATTGAAACTGTGTTACCAAAAGAAAAATAGAGAAAAAAAAAAGTAAAGGATTTCCTTAAGGTCACAAAGCTGATGGATATCCAAGGTAGAACCTATATGTCAATTGCTGGGTGCTTGGAGATTTCTCTACTGCATGAAACTCTAAAAATATTGTAGCATTTCTCATTGTCTTTTGAAGTTATTTATAGGTACCTTTAGTTATACGTTTATTCAGTATTGCTGTGGTTTAGATCAAAAACGTCCCCCAAAGCCTAATGCATCAGAGGTGCCTTTTGTTGGCAGTACATTCATCAGTGGATCAATCCAACCTCTTCTCTCTTAAGTGATGAGCACTGTACATTTTGTGCTAGCTGTGAAAAAGTAATAAATAAGCATTAGGTAGAGAGGACCAGAATATGTATTCTTTACTATGAAATTCTATGGCATACCCATTGCAAAAACATTGACAAGAAGAGCAAAGGATAAAATATGGCAGGCCACATAAACATGGGTTGCCACTGACATTTCCTGGACTTTCCAGAGAATCAAGTGAAATCTTCCAATGCATTTTATTATATGGGAATAGAGTGTAATTGAGGAGTAATGTTAACATGGTGCTTAGAAGTTTGGACACATTTCTTTCTTTAAATATTCATGCATGTACTTAAATCCCTATCATACAGTCCATCTCAGTGCTCAAGTTTTCATGAACTCAAAGTACTTGCTAGTCACACCCTCATAGGACCATTATGAGGCATTTCTCCTCCTACTTTTTTAAAAAAATGTATTTAGTACAGGGTCTACAGGATCTCACTATACAGATCGGACTCGTAGTGATACTCCTGTTTTCAGCCTCCCAAGTGCTGGGATTATAGGCACGCCACCATGCCCAGTTTCAGTAGCCCTCTGAGTGCACCCCAAGGGTGAGGCCAGGGTGACATGTGGTTCTGGGAATTGAATCCTGGTGCCTGCACCTTCTTAAGTGGGTGATTTTCTCCTCCTATTTTTATACCATCCCTCATATCTGTTTACCATTTTGTCAGTTATTTTTAATAGTATGTTTCCAATGCATGATGATTATATTCCTTGTGGGAGTTGGTACATGAACATAACCCATCTTTTTTTTTTTTTACCCTCTTTCCCTCATCTTCACTTCTCCCTTCCCATCCAATTCCCTCCATCTTTTATTTCTCTTACCTTTTGTAAAAGATCTATCTTTACTTTTTCCATTACCTATCTTTTATTTTCATATTTATTTATAGTTTAGGTTTCTTGTACAAAAATGTGTGTCTGATTAATGTTCACTGAACATTTTGGTCTCAAGTCATATCTATTTTCCTACAAATGTCCCAAGTTCCCCCTCTTTAGGGAAGAGTACAGTTTGTGTCTTGAGAGCTCATACCGGATCATCTCAGTTTCTCCCTCACTCAAAACCTCTATCCCTCTACCCTGGCCTATTCTAAGCAGAATGGAAAAAAGATGACTACTGTCAAGAAAATCAATGTTTGTCCCACCTGTGACTAATTGTATGACCCTAAATAAATTACCTACCCTCTGAAGACACAACTTTGTCATACTGCAGATGAAGAGTTTGGCTAGGATGACTCAACTTTCTCTCAAAACCTAACTATACAGAATTTCATTATTAAGTAAACTAACCCCACAGTGTGAATGTTTAATGACCTAATCTCCCAAGAGAAATTATAATACAAAGGTGACCTTTCCCTCTCAGGCTAAACTCATGTATTCATAATTTATTTATTCTTTGATATCTTCATTTAACAGGTTACCATGTGTCTTATAAGACTTGAGTCTAATGAATTATAAGGTTGCTGGCATCCTGAAGCTTATTGTGGAATGAGAATATGGTTAAGCAAACAGGCAAATTATGAGAAAATATGATGTTAATATTTGTAAACCCGTGAGTCTATTGATCCTCCAAAGGTCAGGGTGAAGAGTAAATCTCTGAAGGAACAATAAATTAGAATTAAAAATAAAGCAAGTTTTGTTACATCCTATATGATTTCTATTTATGTAACTTCATAATTTGATTTAATTAATAAATGCAAGACACACAATGGCTAATACTATCTTTTACAATTCACACCATGATCTTTTGATAATTTTCATAATACAGATAATGGATCACCAGTCAATTTTTGTATATTATTAATGCATAAGCCTGATGTAATGAGTCATTACAGGAATAGACACAGATTTTGATGCATTGTTGACACCTTTTCTAGCACAGGGTTAACGGTCCTTCAACAGCGACTGTGAGGTTTTCATTCTTACAGTCTTTAGGACATTCATGAAGTCAGTTCCTCCGGTCCCTCTATGTTCCTGTTCCGATTGCCCGCTGGCAGTTTCCTCTTCCCTAGACTGCTTCTTCGCAGGATCAAGAACATAGGTCTTCACTATTCCCAAATGGTAGCTCCGCAGGGAGACCAGAGCTTGCACACACTCATCATAGGCTTCCTTCAAGTCAGCATCTCCTCTGGAAAGGACAAACTCACGGGTTGATGGACAGGACTCCAAGAAATAGAGGAAGTCCCTGTGTGCAGGCGGCATGTATGTTCTCATATCCTTGATGAACTCAGCTGCAGGTCCTAGAGGGCAAGACAGAGACAAGTGACCAGGGTACCCCAGGCTTCCCAAGACAGGGCAGCAGAAGGCTCCTCCTTGAAGGTTGATCTGCTATTTTTCTTGCTACTAGCAATGGCAGTTATAGAAACTACTATTTTTTCTGAAAATGGAAAGAACAAAATGAATTTTTTCACAAAGGACTTTTCTGCATGTTCTTTTCTCATTTTCTACTGCATTTGCTTTGCCAACACGCTATCAGCGTAGACAGAGTGTGTTTAATCTGCACTTGCCAGATCATGATGCTAAGTCTGAGGGAGTTCCAGGTACCCTTTTGAAAATGTATCTTAATTAATAAAAAGCATATTTTCATCCAGGTCAATGCTTTTTGCTTTATTAAATAGAAGTTTAAGAAAACAGTGGGAGACAGAAAGGTTTGCTGTGCTCCTCCTTCAAAGCTTGAGAAGGAATATAATGATTATGCTCCACTGTGGCCCTGACAGCTGGCCACACCAGAAGATTCAGACATCTCCTGTCACTGAGGCCTCCAAGTCCCCACCTTCTGTCCACACTGGGTGTCTTTTACAGGTGACTTCCTAAACTTGACCATACATTTTCAGGATATGTGGCACTGGCTACCCCACAGGTAATCAGGCTTCAGTTCCATGCTTGTCTCACCATTTGGAGCATGACTTAGCAAGTTTGATTTCGGGCTCTGCTACTTTCTAGTAGGTTGGAAAGAGCTAGTCAGCTGCCCTGTTTCAGTTTCTCCTTCTCCATTTGTGAAATGAGATCATAGCCATGTGACCCCTGCCTTACTGATTCTCTTAACGTCTACAAGTAAGCTTAGGAGCAGATAGGAAAGTATTTCCTCAAAGAAAGTAATGATTGCATTACGGAGAGAGCTAATCATTGTTTTCCATGTCCACCTACCTCTCCCGGTGGTCTGCTCTATGCCCAGAAGAGCATCAAGGCACTGAAAGATGCTGCTTTGCCCAGCGCTGCCCCCTGCAAACTGCTTAGGATCCTCCCAGACGCCCTCGTACAGAAGGCCGTCGGGCAGCTTGGGGTTGCCTTTCCAGCTAGAACAAAAAGGAAAAAATAATTAGTCTTTCAATTAACTGGCAATTCTCAGAAATTTTCTATTAAAGATTAAAAAAATAAAAATGATGTATTTCATGACCCTTTATCCATACCCCCTACTAACTTTCATGCATGAGAACAATAACTCACATACATTCTCAGAAAGGTACCTTATCTTTGCAGTAACACAAGTCATTCACTCTTAAAATGACCCCCACAGGGCATTCTTGGCCAAGTGAAAGTAGAAAATGCAATCTGTTCTTTCTCCACATGTACTTTATGCTATAAATGGAGTTCTACATCCAATAGATATTGGACCACCAATAAAATTTGGTTGTGTTCTTTCTATTAATCAAGAGATAAACAAATTTAAGGAAACAGCTACATACCCAGACAAATACTTGCGGAGAACATTGTAAAACTGATCTGGGTCCACATGTCCTGGAAAAAAAATGTGCTCAGTTTAACAACTTTCAACAGAAAACCCAAAGTGTGAAGCACAAACAGGACTTCAGTGGCAGTCACAAGAAGCATATCAGAACCTCTGCACCGGGAAGTCCCCAGGGACCGGCCTCATTCTGCTGGCCGCTGCTTGGGAGTCCTGAGTGACTGCACTTGGCCTACAGCAGAGCAAGGAATGAAGAGCCACCTGCCCAATGCTATGCATCCTCAGGTCAGTTAAAGTGTTAACAATTGCCTACTTCAGGTGCTTACTGACAATGGCTAAACTGATGCTAGATCCAAGTTAGGGCTTCAATGTAGCTCAGGGTAAAGGGCTTGCCCAGCATGCGTGAGACCCTGGGTTTCATCCTGAGCACAGTAAATAAATCTAAGTTGATTACTTAATTAATTAAATCCAGTTTCTCTGTAGATCACAGCCTCAGGTCTCCTTCCCCACACAAGGGACATTTGACATGAAGACATGCCTTTCTACCAAACAACAATCCTCAATAACTCCATGCCCTGGGGTAAACACTCTTGTATTTGTGAAATCTGTTTTGTAGGGTGCATGTCCTTTTGTAAATAGCTGTTTAGCAACTTTTGGTAGCTTCTTTAGCTGTTAACTTCAAAAACCTTTGAGTTCAGTGGCTTTCTGCACTGTTAGGGAACTGGTAAAGAAGCAGAACTAGCAGATAGCCATGGTTGGCAGCAGCTGACTTTCTCAGAACTTAAAATTGCCTCACCTTCAGCAGGCTTCTCCGTGGTCAGAGTAGCAGACGAGGCTGCTCCTTTGAGGACAACAGCCTCAGCCTGGAGTGTGCCTTCCCAGTTTCAAGCTAGACAACCTGAGCTCATTTACGGTCTCTCTTTGAGTGTAGGTCCCTTAACCTATAAAACAGAGCTAATAAAACTGACCACATGGAAGGAGTGACTTGCTGAAGTAAAATATATCAGTGGTAATACCCTACGCAATAGGTGGGTTTTGCTTCCTTTTTTCAACAGGTCCCCCCTTTGACACTCAGGGCTGTGTAGCACAGCCTCCACTGCGGTACTCCCTGGGACACTTGCCGTGGATCTCCTTGAATACTTTCTGGGCATTCCTTAGGTAGTCAGCCATGCCAAGCAGTGTGTTTTTCAGGGTCTCCTTATCCTGTTGCTGCACTGCTTTTAGTACAGTGGGAACTGCCTGAAAAAGACAGGAAAAAAGTTAAGTTCATAATATGTCATAGCACTACACACTGCCACTGGGAATGGGAATTTTCTTGTCTTAATCCACAAATTAAATCTATGCTTCTACTATCTCTATTTTTAAAAGTCAAAATCACTGATTTTATCGTTATTTATTAGTAACAAACAAATTGCACTAAAATTGTTATGTCTTATAGGAATTTCAAATTTGATTCTAAATATATGGCCTCTAGATAGAATACCTTGGGCAATACCCAAAAATGTAATAAAATCTTTCTGTTAGATGGCCTATTACCCCCAGTTAAGCGATCTAAAGCTTTACTTGATTAGGACACAAGCAATGTTTGCTACTGTAGTGCAGTTGCTAATCTTCCTGCATGTGAATTGACATAAAATACTTAGGTGTGAATAAACATACTTTAACTGCAGAAAACGCTGCTGTCTCTACCAACAGAGAAACCAGGAAGAAACCTTTACTGCACTCTCCACCAGGAAATGAAAAGAGAATGTCCATGTTCCTAAAAAAAAAATCAGTTAAAACAAGCAAGAATTTAGCAAAGATACTGGCATATACATAAAGCAGTTTACACTTTTCATGAGCTTTTATCTGTCCTATTTTATTATCAAAATGATTTTGCAAGAGGGACATGGAATATCTTAACATCACCACTATAGGTATGGAAATATTAGGAGGCAGCAAAGTGCACTGGAATGCTCACCCGTGGTAAAGAGCTTGTCTAGCACACTCAGCACCCAAAGAAAACAAATTAAGGAAAAGAAAAGAAAAGCTTATATTAGGCCTATTGTGTAAAATCAGATAATTAATAATAGATCAGATTAAGCTGAGACTTGGGATTTTATTCCAGAACTGGGAGCTGCAATACTCCAAAATCATTCCCTTTGTGCTATTAACTTTTCCCAGGCAAATTTATTATGATGGACATACACTCAATATTAATAGATAATTTTTGAGGTTGACTTTTATGGGATAACCTTTTCATATATGTGTGTTTATATTTATATATATATAAATATATATATTATTTATATTTATATATATCTGTTACCATGACTTAGTTTCTCAGTGGTTTATCTGCTTTACAAGGGAACAATGGAAAAATTCAAATAACTAGTTAGAACCTATTTTTTTCCCTTTCTCTTGAAGCTGTGGCATTGACACAAACATGTCCTGGTCTCGCGAGGTACATGCTTTGTTCTGGTGCTATCTCATGGGCTCTGAAGCCAGATCACACACGAAGCTTATTTGCTGCATGGTTCTGGGCAAGACATCATCAGAAGATATTGTTCTTCAACCTACAACTTTTTATTTAAAGGAACTCTTTAAAATCCTGATCCTATCCAGAAAAAGTCCACATGATGTTTCTATAAATGTGTTTATTCATCCCTTTCCTATGCTGTTATTCTCATGAATAATGATTTACACTCACAGCGGTGATTCTGCAGCTCTGATAACACACAGAACTCCTTGCCCTTTCATGGCTGCTACATTTTCAGTTTTCTCTAAACACTTCCACCTTCTAGCTAATTTCTCCATAGTCTTCTGGCCACCACCTGCATACCTCTGTCAGAGATTCTTCCTTTTGAGTGTTTTATTGAGTAGAGCTCTGACTGTTCTTATCCCCGTTCCTAATCTTGGGAAATTATGCAACTTTCGTACACCTCCTTCTCCCTCATCGCTGGGAAGGACAGTACCTATTTTTACTTCAGATTCCTGAGCTCTTACCTATGCTTAGAATATAGGTTAAGGATTGGAGAAAAAAATAATAGGTTCATGGCTACTTATTAACACTGCTTAGTTGTTCTGGCCACAGAGGGCATGAGGTCACAGATACCTAAATTTATTTACAACTTGTGTTTTATTAACCCACATATATGCACATATATATGCACACATATTAAGTGCATGCGTATGAATATTTTAAATGCATCTGTAGTTAACAATATCAGAGACACATCAGTATTATTATACTTATAGGCATCATTAAGGTTCTATCGTTCATTTCCTAAATAACTACGAAATTACTTTTTGCCTGAATTTAATCAGCCATTTGAAAAATACATTTGAATTATATTGATAAAACTAAATTTATTTTGATAACAAATGATCTTCACAATGAAAAACAATCAGATACTTACTCATAGGTCATTGGTCTAATGAAGCGGCCATGATGCAATGAAAAGAAAGAAAAACAGTTGAAATTCATATCAGGCTGAGTTATTGTTATTGGATTTAATACTACTGCTCTGTCAGAGTTAAAATGTAGGCCAAAAAGGAAGAATGCTTTTGCTGTTGTATTACAACCATTTAAGTTACAAATGAAATTTTAAAATTAAGTATGCAAAAAATACACATAGATAATCAAAATTAGCTGTTCTTAGTAAGCAACTGCCTCGATCAAGTCCCTTCACTGCATAACATTCCTCTGTGCAGGGCATTCCTTACAGCACACACATTGAGAGCCACAGGACGTTTGATCCTCTTGTCTCTTTATCTTGACAAAGCCTATCACTAAGCAGATCCTGAGCAGGCTGAACTGAGGGCTCAGACACCATAACCTGTCCTGCCAAAGACAGGCTGATTTGAAGGCTAGACACTACACAAAATTAAATGTGTAGAATCTCAAAAGTTTGTTGACCAAAAGAAGCTAGACACAACAGAGTAGGCACTCTATGGCTTCAGTGGCATAAAATCTAGCAACAAACTCTACTAATTTTTTTGTACAAAACTAACTCATTTTTAATAAGACAAATTAGAATGTAGTTGCCTAGAGCAGAACAGAAAACTCAATAGGAATAAGCCCAAAAGAATTTGGGGAGGTAACAGAAATACTCCCTAGCTTGCTCAGGGTAGTATTTACCAGTAGTATAAATATGGGCCCAGTTCCCAGTGAGCAGAGGAGCTCTGTGTTGAAGGATATGCTGACTAAACCCCCTCTCTCATTTATGCACAGTATATTTGTAGTGTCAGTCACAATGGCCCAAGAAACAATACTGAACCACAGAGAAGCTGTGCTGCTAAAGTTAAGCCAATAAGGAGCTATATTTTGACTGAAGCACTATCCACTCTGGCTCCTCTTATAATCACAATATACATACCCTCTGGGGTCCTTTCTCTTCCAGTTGGCCAGAACACAGTCTGCGTACACAAGAATGGGGGGCAGACCCAGCTTCTCTGAGAGTTCACAGTAAGGCACAGCAATATTTCTTGGCAAGACCTAAGTAAAGTGTAGCTGTTAGTTTTCCACCGAAGGGCTTTGCCTCTTCTTCAGCTTCCTGGCTGCCAAAGCTTTAGGTTTTCTATATATAAAATGGCACTCTGGAACCAGATAAATCTATTTTTCTTCCACATTTCATAAACTAACCCCAGTAATTATTAAATATTCATGTTTTGGATTCAGATTTTGGGGAACATAATTTGGCCATATGGAACAAGAGCAAACTAACCCTGCATGCTTAACTTTCTAAAGCCTGGTGTTTTTCCTTTCCTCCTGGATTTTTGAGATAATTTTATCCCATTATTCATCCAACCACTCCTTGAACATTTGTTAAGCATTTTTTTCTGTGCAGGACACAATGTTATCGGTTGGTTAAATAAGAAAAGATAAAATCAATTGTCACACACATACCTGAAGTCTCTGTAATTGTTTCAGACATGATACATGCTGAAAGTGTAAAGTTTCTGTACTTGGTGTTAAGTTCAGAAGGAAATTCTTTTGCATGACCTTTCCTTTTTAAAATAAGCTTCATTAGTGCTGATATGAGAGCTTCACTACCAACACTTATTCTTAGCTGAAGTAGGAAGTTCCTTTTATCTGTCATCTTAGTAAAGATGCTAAGTACATTCTGACCTCCATGAGTTTTGTTAGCATTTGCCACCTTTGCTTTCTGTTTCAAGTACTCTTGTTCCTCAGCACCACACCCGCTGCTGCTTTGTCCTCTGGCTTCCTGCTCAGAGCACCCAGCACTCCCTGCCCTTTGCTCTGGGTGGGTGCATGCAGCATGCCTGCAAGCTGAGCTAGCATGTATGTCAAGGTCAAGCTAGACTTTAAGACTGGAATTAGTCCTCTGTTTTTGGCATCACACAGAATGTGAATGTGGAAGATTGAAGGCTATAGTAAAGTATAAGGTATTTCCTGAGCAACTTCTCTATGTGTCAAGCAGGATGCGAACAGAAAAAATGCCTAGATAAGGCATCAGCTACCCTTGTCGGAAAGGACAAACTTTCCTAAATAGCAGGAAATCCTTTTGGAATCGATTTAAAGTTTAAGTAGTATAATCTGCAATAGTTCATATGATTACAATGGACCAAAAAATATGGCATGCTCAATAAATTTTCATATTTAATAACATATATGTACTAAAAATTGTTTATCTGAACTTCACATTTAATTGGGTCTTTCTAGTGGCCTAGGCTGATGTTCCTACACAGGATGCAAATGCAGGCGCAGGAGCTGCACTGCTGGGTGGACCATGAACACACGCTGGCAGTTTGGACACACCGGAAGGCTGCCACTCATCTGCCTAGCAGCAATCAAGAGGAAGGATTACTGCAAAATCCTTTTTGTTGGTGCTGCAGTAAAATTATCATCGAGGCTAACAATTTTTAATAGCTATAGGCTCATGACTGAGACTCTCTTATAAAATAAGACTATGACTAACCCAAAAATGCATAATATATAAACACATATAAATTTATTCTGTATTTTAAACTATATATTTTACAACTAACATTATTTAATGTTAATTAAATTAACATTAATGACACAGTGAAGCCAAAATGTTTTTTTGGTTAAGTCCTTTAGCCTTAACTAAGAAAAGTTATTCAAAGACATTTATTGTAGTGTCCTTTATCATAAGGAAATATTAAAAACAAGTAAAATTTTTAGCAAAGAGTTACTAAATAAATTTTAGGACCTCACTGAAAAATTATAGTTTGAATGACTAGGTTTATTTGTAGTATCTAGAAATTGTTCATAATGTAAATTCAGTTGCAAAGAGGATATAAGTGTATTGTACAAAATGGAACAATTGTTCTATGTAAATAAAATTCAAATACAGTAATTAATGACAACAGTTGACATGGTAAGTCAGTGACTGGTGTTTTCCTTTCCTCTTTTCTCTCTTCTGCAAACTTTTAAAATACAGTGACAATCCTACCCAACAATTTTTCTGTTTTTCTTTCTTTTCTTTTTCTGTTGTTAGAGAGCAAATCCTACGGTCTACCAAATGCTTGGCAAGTGTTCTGCCACTGACCTATACCTTCACCAATAGATAATATTACATGAAATGTTAATTACATCTCTTTTCATGAAAATTGAAATCTATCATGAAACATTGGAAACATCAGCAAAGCTCCAAACCTTCCGGACGTCGTCATCCGCCTGGTTCCACACATAGGCCATGGTGATGCAGCCCAGAGCTAAGTGTCCGAGGCACTGTTCCTCATATTCCTTGAGGTCATCAGTGCTGAGCATTGGGAGCTGAGGACAGATGAAAAGATTTCATTACAATCAGTCTTGTGAGGGCTTACAATTCTGACTTGATAACCCTGTGAAGAAGCTATGCTAAGGGCAGACAGACGGAATACATGTTTCAAACCTTCTCAACTTCTTCTCGAAGTTGGCCAGTCTTAATGAGTTCTGGCAGGTTTTTAGCAACCAAAATCCAAGCATTATATTTCTCAGGCAGCTCCTCCTGGAAAAAGCAAAACAAAATAGGACTTTATTTTGCTAGTAGAAGTCACTATAAACTGACATTGACCTCTTACTAGCAGCCCACCTGGCCTCTCCCTCCTTTTGTGTCACACATTTCTGACAAGTGCTGACTGTCCAGATGCGCCGTGCCGTCTGAGGGACAGGCATGCCTAAAGTCCTCTGAGTCCTCCACTTCCTTTCTTCCAGCATTTGCCTGATTTCAAAATTCAACTCTGAAGTTTGTCTGAAACCTTCCTACTTTCTCTACTTCACAACAGCCTCTTCCAGTATAAATGCTATGATTTTATATTTTTGTGTTATTATCTGCTACTCCTATTTTTCTCCTCAGACTTGAAATTCTTTGAAAGAGAAATGAGATGAATTATATATCACTAGGCTATTAGGCACTTTGCTTAAGAATATCTTACCTATTTCTCATTCACTTCTTCTAATAGTCCAAGAAGTTGTCTGAGTCACAAAGGAAAAAAAAGCAGGCTCATACAATTTATGTAATTTTTTGTTTATCTTGTTTATTGTAACTCAAACACAAGTTCATAGGTTTTTTATATTTCAGTGTGTGATGGCAAGGTTTGTATTGTAATTTTAACTTTATATACTCTGCAAGACCTGGCATATTGCTGACACATAGGAGATTCTTTAAACAGAGGAACCCCCTTACCCACGGAGACTGATTTCTAAGACTCCCAGCTACACTTGAATAAAATCCACCAAGCCACACACATTATGGCCTTCTGGGATTGCACCCCACGATGAATTGAATTTCTTTTCTGTCCTATCCCTGCAATTACCATGCATTGTGACTGTAACTTTTACAGTTTAAAGTCTCACAGAAAACCTAGGATAAATTTCTTTTTCCTTCAAAATTTTTGTTCTTAACGTGCATGATTTTTCTATCTTTATTAAATCAAAATCTTTTGTCTTAAGGAAGCAGTTCCTGGCTTTTCTTTACAATATCTACATCGTCAGATATCCTACTCTTATGTCCCCTGCCCTGGCACAAGATTTCTGCCTGAGGTGTGTGTGATTCCACTACACCAGCATTTTCTTACAGGCTTCTATCTCCCCTATGCTAGGATCCAGTTCCATTTACTTTAAAATGCAACAATTTCCTTATATTCTGTTTTCTCTTTGTGGAGGTAGATGTGAGCATTGGGCACCTTTATATGGCTAGCTCTCCTCTGACAAATTGATTTGCATGACTTTCTTTGAAACTCAATTTAGGGAACAGGAGTTTTTAAGACAAGCATTTTCTCTCCAAATGTCTTATACTTTATACTTTATACATACAAATCAGAAGACAGAAAGGTTTATACTCTTATTTGAACCATGCATTCAATAAACTGCAAGCATTATTACTACAACCTGGGGTTACTTCAAGTGTCATCACATAAACCCAATGAAATTACAAATCAAATTAGTTCCAAATGCTTGTATAGTTTAAGATATATAAGTACAGACAGAGGTTTCCTTGTGACTTGTGACCTATTTATAACATTGGGTTTTTCTAATTGTGCTCTAAAAATGCACTTGTGATAAAACAACTCTTGATTTGTATAGCATTTTTTTAAAGTCAAATGACTTCACATAGTCATTCTTCTCTCCATCTTTGTGGTAGGTAAGAATTATATATTTGACTAAATTCCTAAGAATACTAACTAGAAAAGAGTAAATGAGACCAGGTTCTTCAAATGCTGTTTCCAATTTAGGCTCTAATTTATCCATTTATCCATTACTGCACTACAGTTGTTCAGTAGAAGTGAAATTGCTCAGGTAATTAATGAGAATACAACTTATTTTCCACAACTCACTGCTGTCGTCACTTACCAGTGGGTTTGGCAGTGCAAAGCCTACATCTTCATCTATGTGGTACTTCTTGAGGGTTTCCCAAGTGACTTCCATAGGCAAAGTTCTGCTATGAGCCATGCTTGCAGGTTGCTCTCCTGGCCCTCTTCAGCATCTGCAGAGTTTCAGAAAGCATCTATGCTTTATAGTGACTGTCAGAGGCAGTGACTGAACCTCAACACGTAAGCAGGGAAAAATAACTTCCACTTTTGGATAGTTTCATTTTCTGTATTTGGAACTTGATAAACAATAAAACCACAAAAACATTTCTGTTCATCATACAAAGAAACTGAAAGTTGATATTACATTCACCTCATTATCTCTTAGGAATATCATTGGCTTACTGCCCTATGGGGAGCCCAAAAGGGTTTTCCCAAAGTAAGAGCTGTGCAGAAGTGTTTAAGCTGGGCATGGTAGTACGCATTAGTAGTCCTAGCGCTCCAGGAACCCGAGGCAGAAGGATTACCAGTTTGAGCCCCAGCCTGGGCAGCTTCATGACTTATCAAGACCTTGTTTATAAATAAATACATAGATGGTAGATATAGTTTGGTGTGAAGACTCTGGAGTTGTTTAATCTCCAGTACTACAACAAAAATCTTTTATATTTTATATTTTAAACTAAAAATAATTTATCATGGCTACAATGCTAAATTACTGTGGGAGTGGCACCTGACCAAGAGCCCCAACTGCTTGCATGTGGAGTATGGAAAAAGAGACAGAAACAAATTTAATCCATGTATGAGGGAGGCTGAGAGGTCAACTGGGCAAAGACAAAGATCTTTCCAGCTAGTTCAGCATTTATTGAGCACATATACACATTTAGAGCACATTTGACCTCTTACTGAGCATGTACACACATTTAGAGGGGGTAGTGAGTGAATCCCAGGAGAGCAGAGGCTATTACTGTGGGCTAGTCAACAAAACAAAGCATTCTTACAAGGATAACACAGAGTTAATAAAGAAACTGTCACTTCCCCAAGCTAAGCCTTTACTGTTGTTACTGCATTGCTTTAAAGATCTTTGTCATCCTCAGACAGACTTATCTTGCTGGGAGCCCCAGAGCATCAGGAGCCCTAGATGCTCAGCTGTGGCCAGGAGAAAGCAGAAGTTTCCGGGTTCCAATTCAGCCTACAGGGCAGGAGAAAAACTGTCTCGGACAGCTCCTAAGCTCAATTTAGAATTTGTGTTTCCCAATAATTTACCATTACGTTCTTTGTCTTTCGATTTTCATTTAAGTTTCCGGAGGCATGTGAGAATAACAGTGTCTTGTGTCAGCAGCATTCAATATGACTGGTGAGACAGTGAACTATCAGTCAGTGGTCCCAAACTACAAATATATAGAAGTTCATGAAGAATTGGAAAGTTACACTTCACCCACTGCCCCATTTTTCGAACCTAGACTTTTCAGTGTGTTCAACATAGGGACGTTCTCTCTTCATTCCTAAAACTTCACTTTGAGAAGGGCTGGCCTGCATATCTACTGCGTTTGACTTCTACATGGTGCAGATGAAATAGCCCTGCGTATTTGGGCTTTGTAATCTGCTCAAAGCTGAAGCCAAGAATAACACCTTGAAAAAAATTTAAATACAAAATGAAGAATGCATTTGGCAAAGTTTTCCGAGGGGCACACAAGTCTGTCTTCCTGCAGAGGCACCATTTGAGGTAACAGCACTAAAGCAAAAGCAGAGACCTTATCATTCCTGTTGACGATCAAGAGCAGAGGAGAGACAAAGTTAATGTCCAGCATATAGAAAAACAAAGCATGGTTTTTTCCCAGTTTCTATGGAACAAATTAAGGAGCCACAACTAAGAACAACAGCTCTTATGCTAGTCCCTTTTGCATGATGACTTTTCTGGGAACAGATGGCTTTACAAGAATACTGAGTCTCTGTAAAAAAAAAAAAAAAAAAGTTGAGGAAATTGAAACCAAAGTGACAAAGCGAGTATACTGCTAAACTTTGTTCAAATAATTGAATCACTGGGTGGATGCATTTGAAACCACACCCATGGAGGAAAATCCAAAGACATCATAAAGGCCTATTATACTGCCACAGAAGAAAGACATCTAAGAATATTATTGAGAACTAGAAAATCTGTGATTCTACCAATGATTTTTCATTCTCTGTCCCTAAAATTTTCTATATATATATATATATATATATATATATATATATATATTTGCTACACGGACTACAGTTATATGAGTCTAACTTAAAAATCTCTCAAGCTTGACTTTTAAAGCATTGTGTCTCATAAAACCTTTTATTTTTGCTCCTCTTTTTTGCCTACCTTCTTAAGTGTGTAGGACCCATAAATCTTGACTGATAGGCACCACCATACCCAGCTATTTCTAAATTGTATTCTTCATTGGTCTTATCATCCTTCATCTTAATTTCTTTTTAGATGTATTCACATCTCCTTGAATACCACTCTCACCTGGCTACAGAAGAATCTCACAATTTTATGACCTCAAATGGATGCTTTCTCTCCCTCTTCAGCCTTTTACTAATGCCCAGCATAGTATGCTAGAGAAGATTTGAGAGCCAGCACTCCCTCCATCTTTTGCTCTGCAGCTCCCTAGATCAGAGTCCTAGAACAGAATCTTTGTATGAGTCTTCCCTGTTCACATCACCTGTCTTAACAGCTGGGATTCTCTTTTTTCTATGCTGATACCTCATATGTTGATGTGTCCCCCTAGCTATAGACTATATTTCCAATTGTTCAGTGAGCAATCCTCTATTTGGAAACTCTGAAATTACTTTTACTTGGACACTATTTCCATCAGTAACATGACCATTAACACCATTACCAGACGCTGTATCCAGGGACATGATAAACACATATTTATTTCTTCTTCAGTATTATCCTCTATGATTCACCCAGCTGCCTTCTTACCATTATGCTATGCTAAGTTATAACATGCCACTTTATTTCTAAAGGAAAATAATTCTCAGTTAAAAATGATCCAAAAAGAGTTGAAGCAAACACTGAAATACCAATATCTATAAATATTTACCATTGATATTTACATGATTAGACATTAATAATAGCCAACTTTTACTGAGCCCTTACTAGCTTAAGACATTTTCTAAAATTTTAGTTTCTGGTGCAGATTTGACTTTTATAATTATTTTATTAGGAAAATTTCATGGTGTTTTTGAAAGGGAACTCAGTTAAAAGGCAAAATTAAGCACTTCTTTGAGGAGGCAAGTATCAACCTAGCCCTCTAAATATTTAAACCATTTTAATAGATGTCTAATTATCTCTCAAAGTACCTACAGATGATAATAAAACCATGGAAAACCAGAGTCTGTAGATACATTTACTCAGGACTTAATATATAGAAAATCAGACTTATTAATTCATTTATTTAACATATTCAAAAATAAAAAGGGCAGGATTTGGAAATTTTGAAGAAACTGAAACTAATATAAATAACCAAGTGTACAGTTAGGATTGAGCATAATGAAAGTGAATTCTTAAACTTTCAGATATATTAGAAGAGAACAGTTTAAACTCAGTGAGGAAAAAAAAGGAAAATACAGAAACAGAATAAGAGACAGAGAGTATATGAGGAACTCTCATGTAGACATTATCTTGGTCTTAAAAGATAAAAAGTGAGAAAAGAGCAGCAGTACTATTAAAAATGATAGGATTGGAGAGGTTTTTTTAAAGCCATAACCAAAAATACAGAGTCCCAAATAAACAAAACATTTATGTCCTCCAAACAGGTTTTAGTAAGGTCAAAACTAGAGATGATAATATCAATGCTTAAAATCAGTAATAGAAAATTTCCAGACATAAAATGAAAAAGGGACCCTACCCATTACCTCCCTACCACCAAGGGAATCCAGGTCCTAGAGGCAGGGGGCTTCTACCCCTGCCACGGCCACAACTGAAATGAACTGCTTGGGAAAGCCCAGAGACTAGAAAGCTCGTCAGCAGCACAGGAGGGTTCCAATTAAGGTGCACAGGATGGGCAAGCAGGACTAGTGCTGTGAAAATTTCAAGGTAACAATAACAATATAAACCAATAGGTGATTAAAGGTTCCATGGGACTGGTAACAATGCCAGAGAGAATCTAGCATTTAGTAACCAACACTTTTCACTCAATTTTTTTCTTTTGTCTGCCTTATCTTTTTTTTTCCTTATTAACCATCCCTTTTCTTTCTTTCTGACTTTTCTTTCTTTTGTTTTTTCCTTCTCTTTTCTAAATGCATGGGGAGAACTCCAACCACCGAAAACTAATCCCATCCCCAAACCCAGAGAACATTTCAAGTAGTCACTCCAAAAATTCCTTTCTTCTTGCTTTTCGACCCCTCTTACATTGCATGATCATCTTTCATCTTCCAACCTTACGTCTATTTCCTTTCCAATTATCTTCACTTACACACTGCTATGCTTTGTGTCTAGGTGTCCCACCAAAGCCTCCTGTAGTCATGGGTGGACTTCTTGAGTTTATAATTAACTCATGATCCACTGGAATTATGGGTGTGAGTGCTGCTGGGATTATGGCTGTGAGTGCTCCTCCCTTACTGGGGCAGATAGCCTGAATGCTAATTAAGGGAGACAGATGTCCTCTCTGTAACCACTGTTGCTGCTACTTCTCATTTTGCTCTCTACTCTTTGTCACTGTCCTGAAAGGTTGCTCTGTACCATGTGCCATGCAGCCTTGGAACTAGCTGATTATGGACTAAAACCTCTAGTAACTGTGAGCTAAATAAACCTTTCCTTTCTTCATTTTGGGTGTCAGGTATTTGTCCCAGCAAAAAGAAAAGAGTAACTGAGATGCACACTACCCTCCACAAATTTCTGAACCAGAGGGTAAAACCACGCTACAAAGGGGAAACACTTTGCACACAAACTCTTAATTTAGGATCAGTTCTGTTATATAACTATAGATTCTGTTTCTATGATCTAAAGTAATACATCAATAATTAACAATATGTCAGTGTCTAAATTGTGCTCGATGCTATTATTATTGCTAAATTTACTACTTTAGCTAAGATGTCATATCTATTGTAATCAGGTGTTCATCTTTCTTTAACAATACTGGGAAGCTCTGGCATAATAAACCCAGTATTGCAACAAAGGATCAGGGACTGAGTCAAACAT